CTTCTTGCAAATGAAATTAATAACTTCCCATTTTCATTACTCACTTGGTGCTTGCTAAAATTACCTATTGTCGATCTGTACATTGGCTCTTTACCAATCTGCGCATTCGGGTCCCCTAAGACTATTTTCGCATCATATTTTGAGATCCGCTCATATTCTATCTCTAGTTGGCTATAAAATTCCTCCTTTTTTTCCCATCTGCATGACCTCCGTTGGCGCATGAATATCTATAAAACTAATTTTTTGATATTTACCCCTCATTCTGAGCATACACATTCTGTCTGAAACTGCCTTGAATTCCACTATTGCAGGCTTGAGCCTTACATGTACTAGGAAACCTGTGCCTAGCCTTCTATTGTCACCTCCACTACAGAACAAAATATAATTCCCTATTTGCTTTACTTCACAACTCTTTAATTTAGTTTCCTGTAGCGCCAAGATATCCAGTTTACGCATATTGACCTGATTGACTAGATTCTCTACTGCCCCTTCCTCATATATACCTATCACATTCCATGTCCCCACAAACAATCCTTTCTCCTTAATTTTTACTTGCACCCTTCGCTTTTTTGTTTCTCTTCCTTTTTGGTTAACCTTTTCCATTGCCCGTGTCTGCCATTGCCATTATATTTATTTCTCCCACTGTTTCGACTGTTACTAGTTTTTTGCTCGTTCGTCCGTCTTCTCCCTTACTAATACTTCATCTTCTGGGTTCCATTTCCAGTCTTCCCCATCAATTATTATCTTCTGGTACATGACTTTCGCTGTTTTCCTCATCGCCCTATTTTCTCTTGCTATTTGTCTCAGCTTCCACTGTGTTTCTCTCTCCATACTCGTCATATCGTCCTCGATAAACTCCTTCCTACCCTTCAAGTTTTTCTTATTCTTTATTATCAACATTTTCTCTTGCCAGTTGTTGACTTTAGCTATTATAAAAGGATTTGCCTTCTGAGTTTGTACTTGATATACGCTTTCCGGGCCAACTTCGACTCCTACTTGGTTTTTTAGAAACTCCTCTGCCTTTTCTTTTATGTTCGTGCCATACGTTTCCAGTCCTTTAATAACAATATTATTTTTCCTCTCTTTTTTCTCTATTCTTTCTACTTTCCGTTCCAGCGCTAATAGCTTCTCTCTCATTTTAACATTTTCTTCTCTTATACTTCTGATCTCTTCTTGGTACGCTTTTTGGTCTGTTTTGATATCCTTTACGTCCTGCATGACAGTTTTTAACATGCTCTTTAACTTTTCCATATCGTTCTCGATGCTTATCTTCTTCGTGCGTGTTCTTTGTGCTTGTAGCGGCACAATAACACATGGGTAAGCAGAGCAAAGATAAGTTGTCTTGTGGTGTAGCGGTTAGCATACCAGCCCGGAATGCTTGGAGACGTGGGTTCGAATCCCACCGAGGCACAACATTTTTCTCTGCTTACCTATATTGGTGACCTCCGACAGGCAACGCGCACGCAACATCCTTCTGCCACCGCCCTGTGCCCGCTGTGTTCGGGGTCCGCAGCACCGCCAGGGTTCGAACAACGACCGTAAGAGTGGTAGGGGCGACGCCAGCATCTATCTCCTTCGCACCCCAGCACGACCGCGCGCTGTGTCGCTGGGGGGGGGGAGTACTGTAGCGGCACAATAACAAATGGGTAAGGAGAGCAAAGATAAGTTGTCTTGTAGTGTAGCGGTTAGCATACCAGCCCGGAATGCTTGGAAACGTTGGTTCGAATCCCACCGAGGCACAACATTTTTCTCTGCTTACCTATATGCTTTTTTACTTGGTCTGGTCTCCTGTATTCTGTGTTGTCTATTTGTGGAAAGGCTAGCTCTCAAAAAAAAACATATCTCTCTTTTTATCACCACAGCGGAGATAATTCTGACTAACCTTAAATCGCTTGTCTAGCCAATTTTTGGGTGTTCCTTCTGGTTGTCGTCCTTTCCTGCTCTTCCCCAATCCTCAACACCTTACTACCGTAGTCTACTCCAAAATTCGTGTGTGTAACCCTCGTAATCTTACAACAAGTTTAATTACGGAGCGCTATTCACATACCTGTTTACAAGCAAAGTTCAACTTAATTCGAAATTTTAATTTTCATATTACTTTTACAACATTTTAATTTAAAAAATTAAAAATGTATCTATTATTTGTGATTATTGATGTAGAAATATCAAACCTAACGCTGAAAAGCAAAACAGCAAGCAAATACGTAAAAACGGATAACGGTACTGTATCGATTTCTGCTTGGACATGGGGCCAATCACCATTCAATCTAAACTATGTTTCGCTTCGCCCAAGTGCTACATGCGGCAAATCTGCACCAAACAGCAGAGGCGAAAATCCCTCGGACGCGGTCTGGTCTATGTGCCAAACCAGTTCTCAGGTGACGCTGTGTTGTTTTATGAAGTTCATTACAATGCCGAGAAAACGGCAAGCTGACATAGGTCCTCGAAGTCAATCAAATGTGCAACGAACTACCTCAGGTGCAAACCGCAATGATTTATTTCATGGGTGATCCCTTAAATCTGTCGAACACCGAAGAAATCCACACCCCCCACACAATAGACAAAATAATAAGTGGACTAAAACAAAAACAACTACATGGAAAATTCTACAAAGACTTGAAGAAACTCATATCAACAAGAAGATGTCATTGATTTGTTTAAAAAAATCAAGTTTGTATGCCGAAACAGAAGGATTTGTGTTTGCTATTCAAGACCAAGTAATCAATACCAAGAATTACAGAAAATACATCATCAAAGATCCGAATATAAGAAACGATTGCTGTCGCCTCTGCAAAGCAAAACCTGAAACGATCCAGCACATAATCTCCTCCTGCAGCATCCTGGCACAAACTGACTACAAAGCTAGACACGACAACGCAGCCAAAATCATTCACAAAGAATTAGCAACACTTATGAACTTAATCGAAGATACGACACCCTATTACACTTACATTCCATCTCCGTTCCTTGAAAATAACAAATACAAATTATACTGGGATCGCACAATACTTACAGACCTAAACATTACAGCTAACAGACCAGACATCATACTTCTCAAAAAACACACGAACGAAGCCATTCTCATTGACATTGCTATTCCTAACACAAACAATATTATTCAAACATACCACACCAAGATTTCAAAATATCTACAATTATCGATAGAAATGAAATCCATGTTGAATCTTAAAAAAATTTCAATTCTACCCTTAGTTATCTCTAATGTAGGTATAGTCCCAAATAGCTTAGTTGAAAATTTAAAGTCTTTGCATTTGAATGATTCAATAATTGTCAAAATTCAAAAAGCTGTTTTATTAGGAACATGTCATACTGTTCGTAAGTTCCTCGAACAGTCTGATCATGTCAGTCAGATTAGATTAGCACCAGTAGGTCAGAGTAGTGTAGTTCCAAGTGATGCGCGGATAAATGATCGGTAGTTACGCTAGACTATTGGGGATGGGGTGAGATTAGAGAATAATAGCAGACTAATTTGTATGCTGTAATTTTAGAATCTCGAAAGTTGTTTTGTTAATCTAATCAATGCATATCATTACTTGGTCTTGGTACCCGTAATGATAGAAGTCTTGCCTGAATGCCGGTCATTTCCGGGTCAGTGGTGGGTCTTAATTTAATGGATGTTAAAGGATAATTTAAGAATAAGACCAAGTATGTACCTAATATTCCTTGAAATTTTGAAATCTCGGATAAAATGAATAACCTTTACTTATACCTACTCCATTCAAGGTAGATAGGTTTATAAAAGTTTACGTCCAATATTTTTCATGCAAAAAAGATAACTTCAAATTTAAATGCATAAAATTTCATATGATAACGCTGACATTAACATTCGAATTCGTTAATGTCTGAGGGTAAGTGAAGACGTCGTCTAAAGATTTAATAGGCCTAAAAAATTGAAATTGAAAGGATTCATTCTCTTGCAATGAAGTATTGAGGGTTGGAACAAATGCCATTAATTAAAATATTAAATAAATGTGAACCCCATTGCACCCTCTAAGTAACATAATGAAAAACAGCCACAAACATTTTAACTTTTCCCTTTAGAATTAAATGATTAAAACAATCAAAAATTCCGTTATTCATTATATAAAAATATGCACAATATAATGCAACAAAAACGAACTAGTTTTTGTTACGTATTGCGTAAGAAGAACATTTCGATACAGGATCAACAATGAAATAATGCGGGCCAGTTTTTAGCATATTTTAATTGCAATTAAGTTAATCGCGCATTTAATGAGACTTTTAGCGACATCTGTTGCCACGTTCTGCATTGGATTTGTTCGACTATACTTCAGGGGCGAGGGATGCTCTGCTTAAATAACAATAACAATCAGTTGTTTCCTGTTGCAATTTAATTGCAAATAATAATAGTTTTGGCAACTGGCAAACATGTATTTAGATCTATTAATATACAGAAACTTCTTGGTTAATTTATATTACTCTATTATTTATTCATGTAGTAGTTTTCTAGCAAATTGATCAATTATTATTGAAATTATACACCCTATATATGTGTGGTTCATAAGTCCACGCCTGGTATGCTAAAAAAAAACCTTGTGGAACTCATTTTACTCGTTTTATCACTAATGCATTTATCATGTAGAACAGCCAATTAAATAAAAAGTTGTTGGTGACTGCAGTAGCAATAAAATATTCATAATATATTTTAAAAATAATCTTGTTAACAAAATGAAATTTGAACATTTCCTTAATTGATCTGCTTCGTTTTTATGTTCTGTTCCTTAGTATTTCACTTCTTTGAGTCTTTTATCATTTTGGTGTCAAAACTGACAAACTTTTATATATGCTTAATGTTTGCGTAATTATCCCTCGTGAGTCACCCTGTATATGTGTGTCTGATGAATCCATGACCTTGTCGAACTTGTTTCGCATAATTTATAGTGGTTAATAATAATTGATGTTTACTGCAGCAGCAATAAAGTATTCATAATATATTTTAAAAATAATTTTATCAACAGAATGATTTTGGAAAAGCCCTCCGCTCAGCTACAAGTGCTAATTAGAACAAAATGTAACGAAAACATTGAGACTAGAAATCAAGACCTCGAAACAATCAAGGAATGGCTTAGGAAACAGCCGCATTTACCGGATACTTGGGGTGAGTCATTTTTCCCGAAAAATATGGTAATTGATCAAAATTATTTTAACTTATTTGTTCATATTTTAGATGATGAAATACTACTAGCCTATTTACGCAGCTCTAATTTCTCATTGGAAAATACTAAAGATAAACTGGACAAGTTCTTTAGTATCAAACATGTACTTCCGGAAGTTTTTGCAGATTATGATATCACAAGACCGGAGTTACAAGAGTGCTTACGTAGCGTGTAAGTAAAGAACTGGCTCAAAGCCCCTAAACTACGGTAAAAAAATATGCTTTTAAACATTTTTGGTTTTGAAGTTTCAAATTTAAAAACTGTTATACAATTTTGATTTTTTTATTCTGAAAATATGGATGCCTGCGGTAAAAAATTAAAGCATTATTTTATAAAATTTCAATAGTATTTACTACCTAAATTTTTGAGATACTGAAGTTTGGAAATGATGTTTGAATAGATATATTGAAAAATAATGTTAAGGTGTAAATTTTGGAAGTTTTTAAATATTAACTGCCTATTTTTTTTTTCTAGCCAATTCTGTACGAGTCCATATCTCACATCTGAAGGGTACCGAGTACACTTTGCTCGCGTTATTGATTCACAGTCAGATAATATTAATTTTATCACATTTTTGAAACTAATAATGATGTTTATCCACATTTATCTGAAAGCCGAAGCTGTGGAAGTGGCTGGTGAAATCGTGGTTTTAGATACAAGTTTTTTCAATTTGAAACATGCTGCTCAAATTACTCCGATGTTTGCCAAGAAATTTCTGAATTTTGTGCAAAATGCCGTGGGTTTCAAAGTTAAACAATTTAATATAGTTAATGCACCAGCACTTGTGGATACTTTTCTAAAGTTTTTATCTCCATTTCTTAAAGAAAAACTAAGAAATCGGATATGTTTGCACCGGAATATTGAGTCCCTTTTTGATCACATTCCCAAAAGTATGGCACCAGAGGAGTTTGGAGGAACTGCTGGAAAAATACAACCACATTCGGACAAATTAGCTACGCTGATTAACGGAAAGTTTAGCTCGTGGCTAAAAGAACAAGAAAATATAAAATCGGATGAAACGAAAAGAACAGTAAAGCCACAATGGTGCGACGATTTGTTTGGGTTAGATGGCACTTTCAAACAGCTGAACGTAGACTAGTACACTAGCACATAGATACAGGGAATAATTTTCAAATATATTAGAAAGCTATTATTATCATTGCACTCCGAATTTTATTGTATATAAATCAAGTACACCTTTATTAAAATAACTATCTATTGAAGAAAAATTGTTTTGACACAACCTGATTTCTTACGAATTATTCATTTACAGGCCTTTCGTTTGAAAATCACAAAACATATTTACTCATTCATTAATTTTTTTGAGTCACCCTGTATAAGCAAATCTAATTTTATTCATCAATATTTTGAGGTGACGACATCAATTTTTTAGGGGGGGATACATTTTGATCAAAAATTTACCGTGCTTATAATAACTTTAAAACATCTTCAACATTTCAAAGCAATAAGTTTTGCTGTTCCTGATTAAATCAATAAAATAATATCACGTATTCATTAATTTTTTTATTACGAAAATTTGGATGCCTGCGGTAAAATCAGTCCAGCAGTTTCGACAATTATTTGTATAATAAAATACAACTGAAAAATCGAAAAATTGAAGAATCTAAATATTCAAAAATCCCAAAACTTAAATATCGAAAAATGTATAAATCTATAAATGGAAAAAAAACAAAAATTTTAAAGTTTAATAAATCGAAAAATTGAAGAATTGACAAACCGAAAAATCGAGAAAACGAAAAATCGAAGAGTTGAGAAATCCAAAATAAAATATCTAAAAATGTAAAAATTGAAAAACTGAAAACTGAAATTTCTAAAACTTTGAAAAAATCTCGATGTGTAGGATAAAAATTTAACACAGATTAATAAACCACACCTTCAGGAACATTTTAAAATTAACATCTAAAATTTAAAAAATCGAAAAATTGAAGAATCCAAAAGCAAAAAAAATCATGAAGAAGGAAAAGCGAGAAATCAAAAAGCCAAGAAATCAAAAAACTGAAATATGGAAAAATTGTTAAATCGATAAATCGAAAAATCGAAAACCTGAAAAATTGAGAAAATGAAAAATCGAGGAGTTGAGAAATCGAAACTGAGAAATCTAACATTTAAAATTTGAAAAATTAAAAACTTGAAATACTAAAAAGATCGCAAAACTGAAACTTCGAAAACTTCGAAAAAATTTAGAACCAAAAAACTGAAAAATCCCCAAACTGAAACACCGAAAAATTAAGAAATCGGAAAATTGAAAATTCAAAAAATCGAAAATTCGTAAAACTGTCATACAGCTTTGATTTTTTCCCAAAAATCCAGATATGTAGGGTAAAAAATTATCGCGGATTCATACAGCACACATTCAGGAATGAGTTACATTTTAACATCTAAAATTGAAAAAATTGAAGAATCGAAAAGCTAAAAGATAAAGGTAAAGGGAAAACGAAAAATCTAAAAGCACAGAAATCTAAAAACTGAAGAATTTAAATATTGAAAAATCCCAAAACTGAGACATCGATAATTTGTTAAATCGAAAAATAGAATAATCTAAAAAACAAAAAATTTAAAGTTTAAAAAATTGAAGAATTGAAAAACTGAAAAATTGGAAAACCGAAAAATCGAGGAGTTTAGAAAACGAAACTCAAAAATCTTAAAATGTGGAAATTGAAAAAACTGAAGAATTGAAATATTGAAAAAATGCAAAACTGAAACATCTAAAACTTTGAAAAAGTCTATAACCAAGAAACTGAAAATTCCCAAAACAGAAATACCAAAAAATCGAGAAATCGAATAATTGAAAATCCAAAAAATCGAAATTTCGAAAAATTGTCACAAAATTTTTTATTTTTTTACAAAGGTTAAAAAAATTAAGAAAAAGAGAAAATGAACAATAAAAAGGCCGAGATCGAAAATTTCAAAAATCTATAATATTGAAAAATCCCAACTGAAATATCAAAAACTTAATAAATCGATTAATCGAAAAACCGAAAAACGGACAAATCGGAAAATACAATAATCAAGAAAGTCTAATGAATCGAAAAATAATCGAAAAACTTAAAAATTGGAAAACTGAGAAATCGGGAAAATGAAAAATCTAGGGGTCGCGAAATAGAAACTGAAAACCTAAAAATTTGAAAATTGAAAAATTGAAGAAATGAAATGTTGAAAAGATGGCAAATCTGGAATATCTAAAACTTTGAAAAAATCTAGATCCAATAGATTGAAAAATTCCAAAAGTGAAAAACCGAAAAATGAAAATCCAAAAAACGGAAAAGACGAAACATTTTCAGACAATATTGATTTTTTCAAAAAATTTCGTGTAGGATAAAAATTTTGCACAGATTAAAAAACCATACGTACAGGAACATATAAATTTATCATCTAAAATTTAAAAAATCAAAAAATTGAAGATTTTAAATTTTGAAAAATTCCAAAACTGAAATATCGAAAAATTTGAAAAAAACAAAAAATTTAGAGTTTAATAAATCAAAAATTTGAAAAGTTGACAAATTGAAAAAGTGAAAATCGAGAAAACGAAAAATAAAGGAATTTAGTAATAGAAACTGAAAATTTTGAAGATGTAAAAATTGAAAAATTTAAGAATCTAAATATTGAAAAACTAGTAAATCGAAAAATCTAGAAAACAAAAAATTTGAAGTTTAGTGGATAGAAAAATTGAAAAACTGAAAAATCGAGAAATCAAAAAATCGAGGAATTGAGAAATTGAAACTGAAAAATCTAACAATATAAAATTGAAAAATTGAAGAACTAAAATATTGAGAAAATGGCAAAACTGAAACCTCTAAAACTCAAATACCGAAAAATGGAGAAGTCAACAAATGAAAATCCAAAAAATCGAAAATTCAAAAAATTGTCATACAATTTTGATTTTTTCTCAAAAATCTCGATGTGTCGGATAAAAATGAACCACAAGTTCTATATTACTTTTTAACATCTAAAAAAATCGAAAAATTAAAGAATCGAAAAGCTAAAAAATCGAGAAAAAGAGAAAGCGATAATCTTAAACCCAGAAAAATTAAATATTGAAAAATCCCAAAACTGAAAAATCAAAAAACGGACAAATTGAAAAATCAAAAAATTTAAAGTTTAAACATCGAAGAATTGAAAAACTGAAAAATCGAGGAGTTGAGAAATCGAAACTGCAAAATCTAAAAATGCGAAAATTGAAAAATTGAAGAACTGAAATATTGAAAGGATCGCAAACTGAAACATCTAAAACTCTAAAAAAAGGGATAAGCAGGAAATTGGAAAATCCCAAAAATCTCTATGTGTAGGGTCAAAATTTAATACGGATTAATAGACCACACGTTCAAAAATACCTATATTACTTTTTAATATTTAAAATTTAAAAAATCGAAAATTTAAAGAAACGAAAGGCTAAAAAATGAAGAAAAAGGGAAAGCCAATAAATCAAAAAACCGAGAAATCGAAAATTTGAAATATCGAAAAATTAATAAATTGATTAATCGAAAAATCTAAAAATCAAGAAAATTAAAGTTCAATGAACGGAAAAATTGAAAAACTGAAGAATTGAAAAAATAAAAAAGTTTCAGGTTCATTAAATCGAAAAATTTAAAAACTTAAGAAGTAAAAAAAACAAAAATTTAGCATTTAAATAACATTTATTCCAGAAAATTGTAACATGATGTAATCAATTCCTAAGAGGCCTAAACTGATAAATTATTTTTAACGATTTACCATGGTTATGATAACCATAAAACGGTTACAATATAACTATAAAGTAAGCTTTATCTAAAAGCTAAATTAAGTTAAATTCTTAATTGGATTAGAAACTTTGTTCGAACCAAGAAATGTCACGAGCCGCTTATATTTTGTTTTTCTTATAACGTAAGGCACACTTTCGTAACCAGTAGCTGGAAAGCTTTTAATGGTTGTCCATATAGATGTATCACTTATACCGGATGTACTTTTGTAGTAATTTAGACGACACTTTCGAAATTATACACTTTATGAACATTCATCTCGAACTCAAGGATTTCTTCCTTGTTTAAATACCTAGTCCAACAAGTTTTTAACACAAAAGTCTATTTTTGTGTCACATCTTTCAACAGTCGTTGTAGACTGCACTAGCCTTCAAACTACCGAATCTCTTAAAAGTGAGTTATAACTAGAATGATTTTAGAAAAACCCTCCCCCGAATTACTAGCACTAATTAGAATAAAATGCAATGAAAACATTGAAACTAGAAATCAAGATCTCGAAACAATTAAAAAATGGCTCAAAAAACAGCCACACCTTCCAGATTCTTGGGGTAAGTAGTCAATTTTCCCAAACGTGAGTGTATTTTTCATAAAAAAAAACTAGTGTGAGTAAAATAAAAGGAATTGACAAAAGTGGTCCTAATATATTTTTTTACATTTTAGATGACGAGATGTTACTTAGTTACTTGCGCAGCTGCAATTTTTCGCTAGAAAAAACCAAGGTTAAACTAGATAAGTACTTCACTATCAAGAATGTACTCCCGGAAGTTTTTGCAAATTTTGATATCACAAGACCGGAGTTACAAGAGTGCATGCATACAGTGTAAGTAAAAATACAGGTTAACGTATCTATTAATGTGTAAATTCTGAAACAGTCTTTTATTTTTATTTAAATATTAATTACCTCTTTTTTTAGCCAATTCTATACGAGTCCACGCCTCACATCTGAAGGGTACCGACTACACTTTGGTCGCGTCATTGAATCGCAACCAGATAATTTTAATTTTATCACATTTATAAAACTAATAATAATGATTTCCCAAGTTTATGTTAAAATCGAAAATGTGGAAGTGGCTGGTGAGGTCGTGGTTCTAGATGCAAGTTTTTTCAGTTTGAAACATGTTGCTCAAAGTACTCCGACGCGGGCCAAGAAGTTTCTAAATTTAGTGCAAAATGCCCTGGGTTACAAAATTAAACAATTTCATGTAATGAATGCACCAACACTTGTGGATACTTTTATAAAATTTTTATCTCCATTTCTTAAAGAAAAACTAAGAAATCGAATATGTTTGCACCGGAATGTTGAGTCCCTTTTTGATCATATTCCCAACAGTATGACACCAGAGGAGTTTGGAGGAGCCGCTGGTAAAATGCAACCATATATGGACGAATTTATTACGATAGTTAATGGAAAGTTTACCTCATGGCTGAAAGAACAAGAAAATATCAAATCGGATGAAACGAAAAGAATAATAAAGCCACAATGGTGCGACGATTTGTTTGGGTTAGATGGCAGTTTCAAACAGCTGAACATAGACTAGTAGGTACATAGACACAGAGAATATTTTTCACATATATTAACAAGTTGTTACTATTGCACTTCGATTAAAAATTATTAAAATAACTATGTGCAGAAGAAATTTTGTTTTTACACAAACTGGTTTTTTACAAGTTACTCTCATTTACAAGCGTTTCGTTTCAAAATAACAATACATAAGTACTTGCATTTGTTAAATGTAACGCCCGATATCTTTGACAGATTTAGATGTATTATTAGAAAAAGTCGAAAATGATACCAAACGCAAATTTTTTGATCAACAATTTTAAAGTTGTAGTTATTTTCGAATTCAGTCTGCGAGTTTTTCAAAATTTCACACCATTCCTGATTAGAAAATCGCTAATTAAATGGTCTTACTCTAACTACACACCCTGAAGAAGACACTAGCGTCCAATGCGTTTGTTTTTTGTTTAAACTGTTCTCCTTTTGTGAAGTTAAAAACAAACACCAAAAGACTCCTTTTCATATCTGCTTTCGCAACATTTCAAAACTCCTAAACTAACAGCCTTAAGAGTGATCTTCTGCCAATGTCTTTAACGCGCTACCTATTTTTTTATTTTCGTTATGCGGTTCCGCAGTGTTGTTTTCTTCTAAGCATGAAATTTTATTTTTCAAATCCGGACACCACAATACCATTTATAATGTATATCTATCAATAAACTAAACAAACCTGTTGACATGACCTATAATTTAATAATGGCTACGCTCTGGTAGCCTCACTCCGATTATTGAAAATTTTACATTGCTTGTCATTTATATTTGACGAACAGATAATAGATCTTATTTGTGCAACTTTTTCAGCCAATCCTTGCATTGCCAAACAATTTGAAGAGAATCGGCATAACATGGCAATGTCTTAACGAAATTTAAGAATAAATTAAGAAGAGGCTAAAGAGATATGTAAAAAATATGCTGCATACTCAAAACAAACAAACATTTATTCGGAGAATTGTTACATTTTGATTAACGATTTATCGTGCTGGCTATAACGTCAAAGGTTTGCTAGAGTTCAGTGCATTCGGTTTTGCAGTTTCAAAGTTAAACAGTAAAAAATTGTTATACAATTTTAATTTTTTTTTTTCCAAAAATTTGAATGTCTAGGATATAAACCCACCAGGCATGGCGGTACGGACGGAAACGGGAGTCTTATTTGTCCCTACTTAAGGGACCAGTACTTACTTAGTTTACGCTCAGAATGTAAAACTTGAAAGATCGAAAAACCGAAATATGGCAAATTGAAAAATTAAAATATCGAAAGATTGAAGAAACAAAAAATTGAAAAATCTAGAAATTGGTCAAAAAATGAATCGTTGAAAAATTAAGAAATCAAAAATTTGGAAAATTGGGAAATCGAAAAACGATCAATCGAATTTAAAAAATTAAGAAATTAAAAAATCGAACAACGGAAAAATCGAAGAGCTAAAAAATCAAGAAAAATGGGAATCGAAAAATCAAAAGGCTGAGAAATCGATAAATTAAAGTATCTAAATATTGAAAAATTCCAAAACTGAAATACCGAAAAATTGATACTCGTATTTTTATCTACAAATTGAAAAATCTAAAAAACCAAAAATTTAAACTTTAATAATTCGAGGGATTGAAAAACTGAGGAGTTGAGAAATCGAAACTGAAAAATCTAGAAGTCTAAAAATTGAAAAATTGAAAATCACAAAAATCGAAAATTCGATAAATTGTCACACAAGTTTGATTTTTTCCGAAAAATCTCAATGTGTGGAATAAAAATTTAACGCAGATTAATAAACCACACGTTTAGGAATATGTAAATTTTTAACACCTAAAATTTAAAAAATCGAAAAATTGAAGAATATAATATGATTCATTTATTTAAATGTACAAAACATCAACAAAATTAATCATTCAGATACTATTTTCTATCTGTCAACCTTTTCTAATCAGCCCACTCTTCTTTTTTTAATCAAGTTCCGTTAGAAGAATAGAAAGCTAAAAAATCAAAAAAAAGGAGATTGAAAAATCCAAAAGTCCAGAATTCGAAAAATTGTAGAATCTACATATTGAAAAATTCCAAAATTGATAAAACTATATTAATCGAAAAATTAAAAAAAGGACAAATTGAAAAATCGAAAAATCTAAAAAGCAAAAAATTTAATGTTCAATAAATCGAAAAATTAAAAAACTGAAGAATTGCAAAATCTTGAATACTAAAAATCGAGGAAACTGAAAAATCTAAAAATATGAAGATTGACAAATTGAAGAATTGAAATACTGAAAAGATCGCAAGACTGAAATTTATAAAACTTCGAAAAAATCTCGATGTGTAGGATAAAAATAGATAAATAAAAAGTGATAAATCACACGCATCACATTTTGCACTTTTAAGATAGAATTCATTCAGTAATGTATTGACGTGACGTCATCAATTTTTTTAGGGGGTGATGAGCAAACACATTTTGATCAAAAATAGACCATGCATATGATAACTTCTTAGTTTTTATACAGGTTCAGTAAAGCTATCAAGTTCTGCAATAAAAATTTCGTTTAAAAATTAAACAAAATTATCGACTAGAATAGCCTTCATAAAAGCAAAAAATGTAAAAAAAAACTCAATTTAATTTAATTATGACCCCCCATTTTTTGGGGGGAAAAACAGACAGATTTTGGCTAATAATTTGCTATGCTTACAATAACTTCAAAACGTCTGCAAAATTTCAAGGTATTCAGTTTTGCAATTCTTGATTTATTCAATAACATAAATCGACAAATTCATAAATTTTTTTGAGTGACAGAATTGTAAACAATTCCTAACTCATCTAAATTAATTTGGAACATGGTCAGAGAAATATACAGCTCTTCAAAAAACCAACAACATTGGCTATCAATATAAATTTAATGATACTATGCTACCGCGGATGAAAAATTAATTTGGGAATATTTCGATGATCATTTTTCCAAATTTCACTTTATAACTAATACATCTTCCGCGATAATTACCTATACAATTATAGAAGTCAAATGTAATTCATTTGCATATATTCCTGTTATGTAAGAAGATGTTATTGACGTCATTACATTAAAAAATATGAATCCCGTTGGCATTGACTGTATCTCCACTAATTTAGTCAAATTACTGGGGCATAACGTTGCAGAAATTCTTACATATTTAATTAATCGTTCGGTTCAAAGTGGACGTTTCCCGAATGATCTAAAAATAGCATTATGTTTCCAATGCATAAAAATTCTGGTATAACACCAACATCTTAAATTATTACCGGCCAATCTGTGTCTTGTGCGTAATTTCTAAAATTATGGAAATAATAATTTACAAGTAACTGTGGGAATATCTGATCAAATATTGTTTATTGTTTATTGTTACTTAATTGCCAACAGAAAAATCCAAATAGGCAATTTACAAAGTAATTTAGACCTAAAACTAATGAGACATAGTTAATAAAACTTAATCTAATTTAAACAATGTAGATTGTACCTTAAAAACAAACAGAAATAATAAAACTCAATAAATATGATTATAGGATAACATTTTTCTAAAGAGATTCAAATTACAAGTTACAAGTTAATTAAGTCATTAATTAGTTTTGCAATTCTCATACAAGGAGAGTGAAATCCATAATTAGTTCTTTGAAGCTCAATAAAAAATAAATCATTACTTCTAGTATTATAGTTAGGAACTCGAAAGCTAAAAAAATTAATTAAAATTGGACAATCAAATTTATTATGCAAAATTTTATAGCCGTAAATTAACACAAATTTATTCCTACGAAATTCAAATGATTCCAATCCTAGCAACTGAAGACCATCCTCATAAGAATATTTATTTTTGTCTATTTTAAGTTTAAATAAAATGAAATTTTGTATCTTTTCAATACGCTCAACTCCATTTCTGTAATATGGATTCCAAATGACACACCCATATTCAAGAATAGACCTAACTAACGAATGAAATAATTTAATGATTACTATTATACATTATTGAAATGTTTACAGTGTCTTTTTATAAATCCACTTAATCTATACGCTCTTTTTATGATACTATCTATATGAAAATTATATTTAAGTCGAGAATCCAAAATAATGCCTAGGTCCGAAGTCTCTGAAGACTGATGTTACCAATAAAATACTGATATTCAAGGGGATGTATTATCCATGCGAAAGTTATAATTTTACACTCATTTATATTTAATGACATGTCGCTATCCTTATACCAATTATTTAATGAATCAATGTCTTTTTGAAAATTAATAATATCATTATTGTCCGTTATTTCTAAAAAGAGTTTTAAATCATCTGCAAATAATAAACGCTTTGAATATTTGAAACAATGAACAATATCATTTATAAAAAAGAGGAATAAGATTGGGCCTAAGTGACTCCCTTGGGGGACACCGGATGTTACCTGGATTTCTTTTGACAGAAAATCCTAAAGATTGACTTTTTGGGTACGACCAATTAAGTATGAAGTTAACCATTTAAAAATATTACCGATTACACCATATTTCGTTAGTTTTGTTAATAATAATTTAATGTAATAGAATAGATATATACTCACAACGACTGTCGACATGGATTGCGCTGTGAAAGATCGACCGAAACAGCAATGTATGACTATATTGAATATGTATAAAAACAGCAAGATCAAAATAAATTTGTTTCTGGTTTATTTTATTATTTATGCAAAGTATTTGACCACACAGATTTCAAGTTTGCCCAACTGATTGTGGTTGGAATTAGAGGACAAATATTAAATTGGATGATATCCTACGTGCAACTAGAAAATTAATCAACGGAAATCATTATTATGATTAATCGATTACGGAGCACCACAAGAATCGGTCTTCGGGCCTCTTATTTTTATATTATTTATTAATGATTTTCCTTGAGATCTACTCTCAGACTGCACAACAATCTACACTGGTGAATGATGACTGATGATACTTCTATAGCAGTCACCCCTGGAACCTAAAAACAACTACAAGACAAAAGCGATG